CCAACTCCGCGAATATTTCGCGCTGGAATCTCTCATTATCAATCCGAGAAGACCAGACTCTGACCCAGAGAAGAAAGCTGAAGATATACTAAATAGCAGCACCCGTCAGTTACAAGACGGGCACATAGAAACAGCGCTTCTCTGGAAGAAAAAGGATATCGAGATGCCTGGTAATTACGAAACAGCAATAAAACGGCTCGTTTCCATTGAAAGAAAATTAGATCGAGACGAAGATCTAAAAAGAAAGTATGATGAACAAATGAATTCCTTAGTACAAAAAGGATGCGCCGAGATAGCACCGAAAACTAGCACACCGGGAAGAACATGGTACCTACCCCATTTCGACGTCCATAACCCAATGAAGCCAGAGAAGTTTCGAATAGTACACGATGCCGCAGCCAAAACAAAGGGGGTGTCATTGAACGACTTCCTGCTCACGGGTCCAGACCTACTGCAATCACTACCAGGGGTCATGATGCGTTTTCGCCGCCATAAAGTCGCTGTCTCCGCAGACATAGCCGAAATGTTCATGCAGGTTAAAGTCAGACCCGAAGACAGAGATGCCTTAAGATATCTCTGGAGAGGGGATCGACGTAATGAAGTTCCACAAGAATATAGAATGACGTCGATCATTTTCGGTGCAGCCAGTTCACCCTGCACAGCCATATTCGCAAAGAACTGGAACGCTAAAAAACACAAAGACAAGTATCCAGAAGCCGTAGAAGCTATCATTCAAAACCACTATATGGATGACTATCTCGACAGTTTCCAGTCTCTGAAAGAGGCAATGCGAATATCGAAGGAAGTACGCGACATACACAGAAATGCGCACTTCACCTTAAGAAAATGGGTTTCCAACGCACCAGAAGTTGTAAAAGAACTAGAACCTGACCATGAAGCATCTGAGTCAGTCGATCTGGGAAACAAAGGAACCGAGGAAAAGATACTCGGATTAATCTGGAAACAGGGTACCGATCAGCTGAGCTTCAACCTAAAGCTCGCTCGACTTCCAATCAATTTGCTGCATGAAACATCAACCAAGAGAAAACGTCTCATACGGTGCATGAAGACGGCACTATACACCGTCCTTCATGAGAGACATCCGCATGAGGAAGTATTAGCCACGCTGCTCTGCGAGGTGGAGTACACAGTAAATAGCAGACCATTGACTCACATCTCTGTAGACAGCGACGACGACGAATCCATCACTCCAAATCACTTCCTTTTAGGAGGATCTGCGAGACTACCGTCACCTGGAGTATTTAATAAAAAAAGATATGAATAGCAAAAGACACTGGCGACGCTCCCAGATACTCGCTGACATGTTCTGTGGCAGCGTTGGGTCCGAGAGTATTTACCGGAACTTGAAAACCGGCGGGAGGCCCATGGGCGTGGTCCCAATCTCCAGGTGGGCGATCCAGTCCTCATAGCTGACGGCCAGTTACCTCGTAACACCTGGCCACGAGGGAGGGTGGAAGCTGTTTACCCCCGGTGCGGACGGACAGATCCGCACTGTGGAGGTACGCACAGCAAACGGCCTAATCAAGAGGCCAACCAGGAAACTCGTGCCGCTGCCGAAGTAGAAGCAACGTCGCTCACCGAAATGGATGCAGCGCCGCTGTGAGAAAATCGTCGCGACGCTGCACGGCGGGAGAGATGTTCGCGACGGCCTAACAACCTTAAGAAACAAAGTGATAAAGAATATTGTTTTATGTATTAATAGTGAAATTACCAAGAAAACTGAGTGAAAAAGAGTATTAATATAGTTGTTTAGCATATTTATAACTCTTAGTATGTTTGTATAGAATGTCGTTTTGATAACAAGTAATATAAACAACTTTTATTATATACCAAAAAATCGACCAATCACAGCGCGTCTTATCGTAGAACTCTCTAGAAGTTTTTTAATTAACTGCGTAATAGTTCAAAGTGAAAATAATGAAAATAATTTTATGTCCTAAAAGAGTTATAAATATGACATTGAATTAGCATATGACTTATAGATTAAGAAAGTGTAGGAATACTTTGTATAATTAAACGCATTTGATAGTTATAGAAAAATTAAAGAATTAAAATGCCCAAATATTATGAAAATTTGGGACATTTCGTTTAATAACTTTTTTACAATGTTAATGTTTTTAGTAACCTTTATGATATACTAATAAAGTACCAGACTACCGATTTAATGATATATAGCATGTTAGTGTAGCAATTAGTTTTGTATAGAAAATATTGCAATTTATGCCATCTGTATAGTGATAAGTTTATGCAATAAAGAGGCAAAACGGAAAATGGCAAGCGGCTCACTGCAAAGTATTGCTATAGTCTACCTTAGGGGCTCGGGACCCAGTACCCGTAGTAGTGTGAAGAACTACCAGTGACAAGTGAAGTGAAGTGAGTGGTATCCGGTGGTAGCTGAAGTGACTAGTAGCAGTATATAGTGAATAGTGAAAGTGTTAGCTAGCCGAAAAAGGTCGTAACTGACATTCGCAGTTACATAGTGAAAGTGTTACCTAGCCTAAAAAGGTCGTAACTGATATTCGCAGTTACACATAGTGAAAGTGTTACCTAGCCTAAAAAAGGTCGTAACTGATATTCGCAGTTACATATAGTGAAAGTGTTAGCTAGCCGAAAAAGGTCGTAACTGATATTCGCAGTTACATATAGTGAAAGTGGTAACTGATATCCGCAGTTACACAAGTGATAAAATCAGCTAGTTTAGTTGATAATAGCTGCTAGTCAGTAGTGTTAGAAAACCAGCTACTACCAATAGATATTTGATACCACCGTACAATTTAAAGAAATCTTTTGAAATATACAGTGAACAACCGTAGTTTAACAACCGTGATAAATACATATTATTATAAAATTTCGCGACTAATCAATCAGTCGAACCGCTGGCCACTACCTTGCTATTTGTATTTGTTAATCGTGCATTTTGATTTTAACTACAGTCCACAATATTTCAGCGGCAACAACAAAGACGGCGGTGAGAGTACCCACCGGAACCTATAGGTGTAGGACGTGAGCGACTCGCGAAGTATCTTCGACAACATTTACTCCGGAGAGTTTCGCCCGTCCGGCACAGATTGCAATAAAGATTATACCTTCTTGTTCCTGACTCTGATGTAATTTCTAATTATCATCCCTTTTTAAACTAATCAACGATGATTTTTTTATAGAAGAGGGGCCAAAAGAGCATACGGCTCGCTTGATAGTAAGTGATTATCATCAGGTGAGCCGAGGGGAATTGCAGATGCGTTGCCGGGACTTAAAAAAGGAGTAGACTCTTTTCTTGAAGATCCCTAAGTTGGATCGGTCTGGAAAAATCTTTGGTGTTAATCGATTCCACAAGGAAGTTGTGCGAGGAAGAAAACTTCTTTTAAATAGCACAGTGTTGGACCACCAATCATCCAGATGGTATGGATGGTATCGCGAGTTTTGTCGTTATGTGCGAATGTGAAATAGTGTGGCTAGAATTAGACCAAACAATTCCTCAGAGCACTTTCCGTGGTAAATGCGATAAAATATACAAAGAAATGTAACATCTCTTCGCAGTGCCAGTGAGTCAAGTCGATCGGAAAGTGTTCGGTCGCCGACGATTTGAACGGCTCTGTGCTGCATGCGATCAAATGCATGGAGCTGGCACTGGGGAGCCCCAGCCCAGAGACGGTAACAGTACTCCATGTACGGCCGAACCTGCGCCTTGTTAAGTTGCAAGCGGTGTGCCTGCATGGAATACTGTCCAACTCTGCTGAGCACGCCAAGCTTTTTAAAGGCCAATTTGGTCTTCTCTTAAACTGCACGTCACAGAATATGTTGACGCTGAGAATTCCGATACTGTCTAAGGCAACAAGGGGAATGCCTTGAAACTGAGGAGATACGACGAAGGGGTTCTTATTAGCGGTAAACGCGCAAACCTGTGTCTTTTGACAGGTGTCGCGGTAGAGTACTTCACGCCAGGGCAGTTTAGAATACGTTTGTATGGATTTAACGGCGCCCGGATATGCGTTTAACTATGTTTTCTTTTAGTGTTGTCAGTTGTAACCTATTTTATAGGAGATAACAATAAGTAAAATAAATAAATCCAAAATAGCTATGGTGGAATTTAGTTAGTATGCTCTCACTCTCAACTTGCTAATTGCATTAATTGCAAGGTCGATTTGTTTCTTTTAAAAGCTACAGAGTCAGTTTTGACTAAAACTTATGGTGCATTGTTTAATTGAGCGTCGAATATAATAGTTACGAAGATGATAATGTGATATGTGATAAGGGTGACAAATGAGCATATAGTCCACCTGATGGTAAGTAGATGCTGCTGCTAGAGGCGTTGTAACTCTTGAGGATGAAGATAAAATGCTTCATTTTCAGTAAAAAGGTCTCTAGGTCTCTACGTTCACTATACGAAAAACAGCAGCATAAAGTGTTATTCTGTGAGAGCGACTTTCATGGCGATATTCTGTGAGAGCCTGTTCCTTCCTCAGTCGAGCCGACCCGTACGTGTAACTACATCAATTTAGCTGGCATGGTTCTACCAAGTATGATAATTACAAAATTATGCCACTAACGTACGAACTTATAAAAAAAATCCGCACAGCGCATCATCTGGTGATAAAAGCATGCTACACATTCGATTTGAATCAGAATTCTAATGTGTTACCGTCTTCTTCAGTCCTCGTCACTCGTCATACGAAACACAGCGCACTTTTAAAACAATAATAACCACTACCAAATATTTCTAATTTGTTCAGTGTTATTAATTGAGTAACATTCTTTTTTCAAAAAATTTCCTGCTGGGATTCTTGCTGGTTTTTCCCACGACAGAGGTGTTTCTCGAACTAGTGGTAAATAAAAATAAGTGATTTTCAATAAGTATTATTTATAATATATATTGAAGAAAAAATGTTTCTATTTCTCAATTTTATCAATAAAATCGGGGATCTTCCGTGGATCCCTATTGAAATGTGGGATTAGGTTTGAAATCTGAATTAAATATTTATTTGAAAATTCCCAGGATTTACGCGTGCCTAATCCACGTGATATCACCGCAGCTTCCGCCGCAGCGTCCGCTGCAGCGTCCGGCGCAGCGTCTTCCGCAGCGTCTGCCGCAGCCTCCGCCACATACACCGCGATGTCTCACGGGCTACATGACGGATGTGCAATCTTGGACCAAATACGATGGAAGACTTATAGTGTACCCAGGTATTAATTTAATATTATTTATTTACACCGAGATATATAATCAAACTTTAAAAAAAATAACCATTTTAAAAAATTTACAAATAACAAGAAATAATAATAATGTCATCCACACCGAGATTTGTGACGAGCCATCTGTGCAGGGCAGGATTATAGTGGGATTAGTGTGGGATTGGATTATATAAGATTATAGCTCCCCCACTCTCACAGTTCGATCGGTCGGTACCCAGACCAGACTAGAGAGAGATAAGGCGCATGACCAACGACTCTATGTGCTTTCTGAGGAACCAGGGTGAAACATCACCAACTTCTTGACTTCGGACTGCTATTGAAAATTTCTTGACAGGAAAACCCAATAACTAATTTTAAGTCGGCCCGGGATTCGAACCCAGGATTTCATGATTAGCTACCACCAGATAAACGAGGCAATCAAATATATGTAAACACTAATAAAACTACACTACCAGTGACCACCGGTTGTAGAGGTTTCATTGTTTTTCTCAAGTAGAAGTGAAAGTTATTTGCTAGACCTAGGCCTTTTCTTCTGAAGAATTTATCTTAATCGTCACAGTATATGATGTATTGTATCATTGACGCTGCACGTTGCCGGAGTATCTGGCGTAAATGAGATGGTCATACTGCCATCTGGCGGAAGACGGAAGCCATAAGATTTTTTGGCATTTTCCAAAGTTATAGCATATTAAAGTAAACTGCTGAACATAGGCCTCCCCATAGATTGCCTCATACGGTGATATTTGCTGTAAGTGCCATGCTTGGCAAGCGGGTTGAAACCCGCAGTTTTTTATTTTTAGTCATTACTAAGACGCCGCTTGTTATCTGTTGAATTTTTTCTATCTTTCGCCTCTTACGACACTAACAAAGATTCAGTAATTCCTTCTTGGGGTAATGTATATGTTTTTAAAACAAAGTCTCAAATAATAACTAAAAGCTGTAGCGTTGCTCTACCGCTGGTATATAATCGTATTGTTGTTGCACGAATGGATTGGCTTGACAGAGGACGGATCACACTCTCGGCGAGTTCTTACGAGTATTTCGGGTCCGCACGTGGTTTTCGCTTGCAAGTACTTACAAGCTATACGTGGTACAACCATGCTGCAGTTATATTAGTAGTATAGTTGTAGCACAAAAGTGTGTCGGCTCGACCGGGAAAGGACCGTAATCCTAATCGAGGATAGATGTAGATGTCTATGGGCCACAGCAACCACTTACCATCAGGTGGACTGTGCTCATTGTCACCCTGTCCTATAAAAAAAATCAAATATCTCGTATAAAAAACCTGATCGCGTAAATACTCATTTAAAAAAATTACGCCACCCATGGAAAGAAATATGGTAATACATACATCGTCACCACACGATGATTATACCCTATACACTTTTAGACACGTGTTGTGTTGTGGTGGATAAGTCGCTCGCGTCCGTAGGCTTCGACCATCTAATCCTATGACCACCCTACACGTGTCCCCCGGGTGTGCTAAACGAGCGACCAGCCGAAAGTACAGACTTAGCTCCTCCCTGTGTGGTAGCGGCGTAAAATATACCACCCCATAGTTTCGCACCACGAAGCAACAAAGGAAAGAAATGGCCCCAAGTTCTCAGCGGTCCTTTAATAGTGCAGGCGTGGCGAACTCTCTCTCTCCGGGACGAAAACCGGCGACGAGGTTCGCCACCCATTACATTCTGTCTCCAGGAGGAGTGAAAAGTGGATTGCAGAAGCTCGTCTAGCTACGCTAAATGTATGTGGAGCAACGAATGATAAGATGGTTGAAGTATGCCATATGATGTATGATAGATGTGTTATGTTTAAATGAGACGTAACGGAAAGGAAGGGATGTCACTACACATGGCATCTATATCGCGTACTGGTCGGGTGTAGACGAGATAGAGCGGGCATGCCAGGGAGTCGGTATCATCTTTTCAGAAAGAATGGATCAATGTGTGAAAGAGTATGAATGTGTAAGCCCGAGATTGCTATGGATACGAATGAAAGTTGGCTTAAGTTGTTTGTTCTAGGGGCCTGCGCCCCAGACTTGCCCAATTATATCCGAGAGCAGTTTCGGCAGATGGTAAGGATGGTGTTAATGAAATGTGAAGGGAAATGAAAATATTGTTATGTTAGTAGATTTTAATGGAAGGGTTGGGGTGAAGAGGCTTGGTAATGAAAGGATATTGAGAGCGTTTGATGATAAATTAGATTGATGAAAGTCTCCTCATTGTATGTGAGAAAAAGAATCTTTTTGTGACGAACACTTTCTTTCGTCATAAGAAGATTCACAGTTATACTTGGGAAAGAGGTGATGATAGAAGTATGATAGATTTCATAATGGTGGATTTGGCGGCATCGGACATCTGTGTCCGATGAAGGTATAAAAACCAAGATCAAATGTAGACTGAAAGAACATATAAGTGGTTCAGATGAATTGTGTACGAATGAGTTAGACTTGGAGAATGTGTGGCATAATGTTAAGAAAGGTTTGATGGATGCAGTTACTGAAGTATGTGGTATTAGTAAAAGAACAAATGAAAGGAAAAATAATACGGTATGGTGGGATGCTGAGGTACGTATGGTAGTTGATGCAAAGAAGAGAGCATGGCTAAATTTAGTAGCAACCAAGGCTGGTAATTCTGGCTGTTCGAATGATGATATAGAAACACAAAAGGCAGTCTTTAGACGTCTAAATAAGAGAGTAAAAAAAGTAGTTGAAAGGAAAAAGCATGAAAGAACGGATAAGAATGTAGAAGAATATGGGATAATTTCCAGGCAAATATTAAAATGTTCTGGAAACTCGTAAAAACTGCCACGGGGCATTCAAAACAACCTAGAATGAATAATATACGAGACGTGAATGGCTGTATTTTGAATGATGAAGTTTTGACTTTAAAGAGATGGAAGGAATATTTTGAAAGCGTGTTTATGAGTGTGAAGACGTGTGAATTAAATGAAATAGGTATTCCAAACAAAGAGGAAAGAGATAGGGAGATAAGTATAGATGAAATAATCAGTGCCGTAATAACCATGTAGCAAGAGTGGCAATAGCTACGGGTCCCAAGCAAAAGGGGGCCCCGCGTATCCAAGCATCTCATCATCGCCTAAGCGAACTTTTTTAAGTAAAACTTATTAAGACGGTATATTCACTTTACTTTATGTCACATAAATGCGAAACGTTCCAAATGACAATCGGAAATGATTATTTCGTTGGCAAAAATGAATCACAGAATTTTATACTGTATACGCACAAGTTTCAACGTACAACACGCTGAAAATCTGGGTTCTCATACTACTGATCATGCGGGAAGATCTGTTTTACGGCTTTGCCTTGGCATATGGTCTGACACAAGTAGTCACTTTGCCTACGCAGATTCCAAATGTGGAGGATCATACACCTTCCCCGTTGGACAGATCAGGTCTCCGTCGATGCCCCTCTTGGCTTTTCAGATCATTTGCTGATCTAGAGTACAGTGTCCGCTCTTGCCCGTTGCAGATACGATCTGTAGGCTGCCGCGATCTGTGGTTAGTGATTTTTTTTAGGTCGGCACATTGGGATAGCATGTGAGTTTATTTTTGCATCCTACCTATGGTGGATTATCTTTTCTCTAGATCTAGATGATCCCAAAAACTCGTTTCTGAGTCTACAGCCGATGTGATGCTTCAGGGAATGGAATTTTCATCATCTGTAGTGTCTACCAGCTGCAGATCCTAGTAATCCAAAGTAATAGAAACCACTATTAACTGCAAGCTCAAACGGTAACTCTAAGAGCATCAGCTGATTAGTGACTGTCAATACGGTTTCTGTCGAGATCGCTCAGTTGGTGATGATCTTTTCGTAGACGAATCGATCGAAATCGAATAAATTATCGGTGAGTCGGGTAGACCGACTCACCGATAACCGATGTACGTAGGTAGTCGAGAACAAGAGGGAGGCCATGGTGGTTTGTTTGGGCATAGCGAAATGCCCTATGTATGTACTAGAACACTTGACGGATTTATTAAAATAGAAACACGTGGTAAACAGTTTGAAATTGAAGTGTTTGTTGTCATTGTTGATAACTTGCTATCTGCTTTAGATAAGCGCATGAAAGCATACCAAAATCTAACTGGTGTTTTTGAAACATTTTAACAAGGTGTGATAGATACTCAATCTACGGCTAAATTAGCAGTAGCGACTTTAGCATCAAAATAATGTTGACATTTGCGTCAAATTGGCAAGTTAAAAAACCTTGACAAATGGGTGCCCCGCGAACTCAATTATCGCCAGCGAGAAGTACGCGTCGAGACGTGCCATGCACTGCACAACAGGCATACAAACGAAGAAAATTTTGAACCATATTATCATGTAAATATATTACAGCGGAAAAGATTTTGAAAGAAACTCCCATTATGGTCAGTGCTTAGTCAAATGGTTTGGAATACAGCATAGAGGGCGAAATATGTGGCTGGTGCGATTGAAAATCCGTTGAATTTCCAGAAATTTAATATAAATTCCTAATGGATAATTCATTAGAATTATGTTTTCTCAATTTAGAAACTGCTTAGCTTATTTGTTGTCTAATGACCAATAACTGCGGTGGTGAAAGTTCATTTTCGACATTGAATCGTATAAAAAACACTATGAGTCAATAACGCCTAAATTATTTCTCTGGTTGTTATACCTTAGAGAAATTGATTAGTACATATATAAGAATAGTATCATTTTAAAATTTGCCCACATAAAATCTAAAAGTATACTTTTTAGACGTTTAAAAAAACAGATAAATAAATATAAAATATATACATAATTTAAGTGCTCCATTATTAAAATAACTAACTATTCCTGAAATCATAATATACTTTGTTATAAATATAAATTTTTAAATTTATTTGAAACATGTAAGTACTAAAAATATTTACAATTATTTGTTAGTATTATCAGTTTTAAATTGTTAGTTTCTTATTGAAATATTTCTAAATTATCAAGACAATCTCACGTATATCTTTTTGTACTTGCAAGAGTCTAACGGGGCCTATAGTAAATTACTGTACTATTAAACACCAACAAAATTATCTATAGACCGCAAATAAACTAATTGAGTATTGAATTGTTTTTTACCACTTTATACTTAAAACCTATTGCATATCAAGGGCCCCTCGAAATAAATTGTTACGGGCTCCGCGCTTGCTTAATCTGGCATTGGAAATAATGAAAGCGATGAAAAGTATGAAAGCATGTAAGGCAGCCGGATGTGATAGAGTTTCACTCGATTCTAAGAGCTGGAAAGGAAGTGGTAGCAGGCTTACTGTACACCTTGTTTAATTTATGCTGGGATCTGAAGCGGGTACCGGAAGACTGGTGCAAAGCCGTGATAGTCACAATATATAAGGGAAAAGGGTCGCAGCAAGACTTTAAATACTACCGTGGTATTAGCCTTTTTAGCATTGTGGAAAAACTGTATGCTAAGGTACTAATCGAAAAAGTTATGAAATAAACTGATGGAAAATTTTGGGATGTGCAAGCGAGATTTAGAAAGGGTATACGATGTACAGATCAAGTCTTTTCCATGCACATGATCGCAAAGAAGTTTTTGGTCAATGTACGCACAAAAACCTTTTCGTTTTTAGTGCGTTCATGGACTTGAAAAAGGCTTACGACAGAGTGAACAGAGATGTGTTATGGCAATCAATAAAATTCAATTGGGTCGAGCGCTGGGTTGATACAGGTATTAAAGTCTCTTTATAGGAACTCTAGTGTTTGTGTTAGGATCAACGGGTTATACTCGGATTGGTTTGGCATCCAAAAAGGTGTCAGACAGGGTTGTGTGGTTTCCTCGTGGCTGTTCAATCTATTTATGTACAGGAAAATTTGAAAGTTGAAGAATGGGTGAGTTAACCATCAAATGCCTTTTGTACGCCGATGTTCAAGTTATATTTGCGTCGCCGGCGGCGGAGTTGTAAGTGATGGTAACATAAATGAACAGCAACATTCTGCTGCTTTCATACCCCTTCTGCTGCTTTCATACCCCTTTCATTTCTTTGAAAGGGGTATGAAAGCAGCAGAAGGGGTATGAAAGTGAACGTAAGTAAGACGAACGTTATGGTTTTTGAAAGAGAAGAAAGTAAAACGATATGTGAAATAAGAATAGAAGGGGAGTTGGTTGAGCAAGTAGATGAGTTTGTATATTTGGGATACGTATATACGAATATACGAATAGGGATGGGAGATATGATAAGGATATAATGACGAATGCACGCAGGAAATAGAGCAAATGGGCCTCTACGCTCTATTTTGGAAAGTCAGAATGTGTCAATAAAAGCACGTATGGCAATTCACAATGCTGTGTTAGTCTCTACTTTAACCTCTTATGGTAGTGAAAGTTAGGTGTGGCAGAAGAACCACGAGAGTAGAATAAACACAGTAGAAATGCGGTCGTTAAGAAGTATGTTAGGGTTGAATCGGAGTGACAGGGTGAGAAATTGTGTGATAAGAGAAGAGTGTGGTTTACAAGATGATGTTGTGACCACGATTGAGAAAGAAATTCTTCAGTGGTTTTGTCATGTAAAAAGAATGAATGAGGAATGAGTGACAAAACAAATTTATGTTGCTGAAGTAAACGGTGGAGTCGGAAAAGGACGTCTTAGGCAAAAGTTTATCGACCAAATTGGCGATATATTGAAAACGGGTCAAATTAAGAGTACCCTTAACCGACGGGAATGTATGTGTAGGTATATGGATGTGGAGAAGGCGAGAGGGGTGTATCAGGATCGTGCGAAATGGAAGTCTGCAGTTTCCGCCTACCCCTCGAGTGAGTGCTTATGTTACAAATGAGCACATAGTCCAACTGCTTTAGCAGCAAAATGTTGCTATTTAACGCTGATATTCTATGAGAGTTTGGTTCTTCCCCAGTGGAGTTATGACATCACTCCAGCACGAATTTTATGTGAATGATATTAATGCTGCTGTAATTTATATGGTGGGTGTAGAGAACCGAAAACTCTTTTTACTGTTAAAAAGACATTCTATCTTTGTCTCAGGGGTGACAAAGCATCAAGACAAACATCATACCATCATATGTGGTGTTTGCTCATTTGTCATCCTCGTAAGTATAAAAAACATGCAAAACCTATCCATCTAAAAGCTAAAATTTTCGTTTTTAAAATTTAAATACTTTATATTGAAGTTATAAAATAACAGCTCACCCATTCGTGCTGCATTAATGTCACGCTCTAGCTACGCCCCACAAGATCAATATATAAAACTTTTGTTTTTAATAATTTCAGACCAAAACAACTCAATCGATGTGTCCTACCACTTAAATTGCGTTCGAGAACTACAGCGGCAGCTGCGAGAGTTTCCTTGTTCGGGGAAAAATTCGGTGCAATATCTTAGTATGGCAAGATGCCAGTTTCATATTATCCCTTCGGTGAGTCTCCTTTAGTTTTTTTACTTGAACTTTACAATATGTTCATGGAATAGTTCTTAGTATAACTCTTATTAAGCTAACAGCTGGCCAGACCAACGTTGTTCTGCCTTTTTAGCGTAGCACGTAGCGTAGCTTTTTAGGTAACACGATAATTTTCTCTCCGAAATCACTTACGAGTTACTGAGTTACTTTGATATTGAAATTTTTGATATTGAATTTGCTTACAACCTTTTGCATCCTAGCATAACTAGGAACTCTCACCTCGACAAAAAAATATATACAGAATGGGTACCATCGTTTTCGTGCTGTCGATATACAAAATGAACGAAATCGGTTCAGTAATTAGGTCAAAAAGTAGCATTTTAAATTTGAGCTAATTTGAACTCTCTGTAGAATTAGGTCGCTAGGTCATTATTTCAATGAACTTGAATACTTTAACATTAAAAAGCGACGTTGCCACGCACTATCACGATGTGAGACTTATGTTCGTCGACAGCGATGTCTTTTGGCGGCGTCCTTCAAAGGCGACGGCGCACTTGCGCGCACGCCTATGTCGTAGAGTATTATTATTTTCCCCATTTTGGAAGGTGGAAGTTTCACTATCAGTTCACTGCGTATCTTCCGGGATAGTGTGTGTGCGCATTGCTCCAAGTGATTTATTTTAAGTAAGATAAATACAAATAGTTAAACAATTTTCTTACGGTGAAATGGACATTTATTAGCTAATTGACTTTGTGTGTGTGTCTAATGAGTTTTTAAGTTTATTTTTATTATTTTTAGTGTGATAGTGACACTACTTGATTCTGGCTGGGCTAGGCTGCTTTTACTTTAGTACATTTTGGCCGCATTCGCCATACAATAAAATCATGTCTGTATACTCTACCGCACTGTAAAAATACTGTTTTATTGTTATTTAGCAATTAACAAAATTAAATCCAAACCGAAGCATACCGCTGCAAGACTTCAAGATACTGTAAGCTCTTTCTGCATAAATCGGACACAACATATTCAAAAACTGAAAGGTAGCCGGGCTAACTATGGCTTTGGGATGTCAAACATTTCAGTCCCCTCTGTAACCATGAGTGCTGTAAGGCACACGAAATGTCGGCAAATAAAAATTAGTTAATTAAACGCGATAAAATCCGTACAAATAGTTTTAATTAATTGAAGAATTCAATTAAAAATTAAAATAGAAGCGTGATGAGTAACATTTGCAAAATAAAAAAGATAATAGATTAGATAAATAGAATACATTTTGATAAAAATGTCCCGTTGATAATTACAATAATACTGCCAGCTATCTAGTTGTAAATTTTTCTTTACCATGGTAAACTCACGCATACTAACGCACGTGTTTCTACAGTGTTATCACGCATACATAGCTAAATGTTTACTTTGCAGTTTTTCCGCGCGCTACAGTGGTTATTCATTCTACAATCTGAATTAAATTGTTTCAGGTTTTCCACTACAAAGATTCTTGTGGTAATACTTTATCAGGGACCGTTGAATATTTGACACTGACTGGAAACAACTTTTCAATAGAAAATACATTTTACCCTTATGATGTACAAATGAATGCGTCAAATGCTAAAAGTGCTTTCGAAGATACTTCATTTGACCGAAATAGTAAGTTATCTTGTATTCAGAGCATCTTATCATGATCATTAGAGAGCCGTGGTAGCTCAGGTGGTTAATGCTCGCTGTAAATATAACAGAACGCGAGTAACCCGGACTCAATCCCCACCGGCACTAATGAAATTGTTAATTGCAATTTTAAGTGCTGATTTACCACGTGCTCGGGGGTGGAGGAAAACATCGTGAGGAAACCTGCATGTCTGAGTAAAAAGTGAAATTTTTTTTCGAAGACTTATGAAGTTCTCCAACACGCATTGGGGCAGCGCGGTGGACATTTCCTTGCCCTAAAACCCTCTCAGAAAAGAGGGGAGGCCTGTGCCCAGCAGTGGGACGTATATAGGCTGTAATTTTACTTTTTTTACTTATCATTATCATCATTTGTAACGGTTCACAGAACTCATGCCGTCCCTTTGTAGGATTCTTGTTTTTATTCAGCCTGTAGGAGTCTACTTTTGGACGTTGGACTTCACGTTATAGGAAGGATTTGCTAGTCACGTTTGATATTTATACGATAGGCGATCACAGAACCAGACGTTTCTCACCTTTCACACTGTTGCCGGGCGCTGGTGAGGGTAATAAGATAGGTTACACTGCCATCTGTCGGAAGTCGTTAGAAGTTTCTTTCATATACCACAGTTACCTCTCATTACACCCATAGCACGAAATGGGATAATCAACTCTCTTAATCCGCCATCATACTACAGACTTACACGCTTAGCTAGCTAAAGAAACCTTTAAGTTGGCAATACAGACAATATAACCATTGCTGTTGTGGCGGCGTAAGAATAACTACTGTACCACATCCTGTGGGTGGCGTAATATGCGACAGAGGGAATCTGAAACAGGAGATGGGCAGCAGCATGTTAACAACAAAAACAATAGCGGTTGCAAATCCACCTGCCAATTATGCAACCATGGCAAATGCCACACCCATAAGACAATTTGCGAGGGGGAGGCCTACATACAGTAGTGGACTTTCGATAGGCAGTAATGAATAAAGAAATGAATGAATTTGTAATATCGATTTGTTGAAGGTTAGTGTTTTTGTCTAAGTATATGTGGTAACACATATTTTATTAATGTTTTACAGTTGCTAATAGTTGGTCAAATGGTTTACGCGGGGTCACCTTTCCACGTCTACGTGAATTAGATTTGCGCCTGTGTGGAATCAGAAAATTAGAAGACAATATATTTAGCGGCATGCCATATCTTGAGAAATTATATCTGGGGGAAAACAACATTTTTACAATAAGCGCAGGAACTTTTTCGGGTTTGAATAGACTTATACATTTGGACCTCAGCAGAAACTATGGATTCGATGAGAACGGAACGTATCACCGCTTGAATTTCGACGAGTGCAACGTTTTCCAAGAATTAGTTAATATTGAATCAATAGATTTCTCTTTTACTAAAATGGCACAACGTAATATTGATGGATTCCTACATGTGAGTGCAAGACTGCAGAGACTGTCAATTTGCCATTCAGGTTTGAGTAATTTGAGTCCAGGACATTTTGCTGGTACTTTTTTGAGATTTCTAGATGTATCCGGAAATATAAATATATTCGCAGATGATGACGCCTTGCGCGGCTTGGAAAACAGGTTGCAGGTAGTTTATGCTAACGACATCGCGTTAAAGGAATTAGACGTTTTCAAGAACATGACCTCATTAGAAATAATAAGAGCGCGAAGCAATGAAATAACTGAAATATGTAGAAACACAGCCAGTAGCCTTATAAACCTACAAGTTCTTGATTTAGATATGAATAGACTGACAGCTTGGTCTAGACCGACAGTGGCCTTGATGCCAAGCCTGAAATTCTTATCTGTTAGAAGCAACAACATCAACATAATTTCAGATCATATGGTAAGAGATTTTGTGAATGTATCCTACATTGGATTGACAGGCAATCAGATAGTGTGCAATTGTTACGCTAGAGAAATATTTGAACTAGCTTTGAGAAATGAAATGGACAAGAAAGATGAATTTATTGCAGAAAAATATAAGAACAAAAATGCAAATTTTTCTTCGTTGTACCACAGTGGGTATGAAGACGTAAATAATGCTATAGCAAACAGAAAATATGTCAGACAAAATTGTTTTCGAAATAATTGTTATACTGGTACTTCGTTAGAAATATCAGGAAACTTTCTTTTGTTTGATTATGATAAAGACTCCTACAATTGTTTGATGATAACAGACGGAAAAACTAATTCATTTGCTGCGGCACCATCTTGCCAAACGACAAGGGATATGAAAGTCGGTGAAGCTATCCAAAATTCTTGGAACAAGTATTCACTGATAATACCGTTGTTGTTAATGCCGTTCTTAGTCATTGGATTTGTTTTTAGAAGAAATTTAAGATATTTCTTTATAACTATAAGAAATTCGGCGATGTTAAGTTTAATAAATAAGGATGAACTTATCGATGGTGAGTATTTTGTTTGATTTCTTTTCTTTATTAACTGACTTTACGGCTCTGGTTTCTAGACCTTCTGAGCCTATCCTTTCTTTTGGAATCTTCATTTTATATTCTTTTTCCTCACAACGAGATTTTGACGACACCTCAACCTAGCGGACAGTTGATGACGACAGCCACTCAAGTTCAATAAGGCGCCCAAGAGATCAAAATAACTTGAGGTTTATATCGACATCAAAGCATTTGTCGTTTTCTCTAATAGTTCACACGCGCGGACAATTAATTCACAAAATCGCATCACTTTTACGAATCAAAATCCACTTTAAACCATTATTCAAGTGACAAAAGAGGAGCGACAATCCGTCTACGGCCAAGTTCCCGCCTAAACTCTATTTTGAGTGACCAACAACTCATGAAGTATATAACCAGTCAGCTAAATATACGCATGATTAAAAATGTAGTGTAATAAACATAATACAAGAGTTTTTTTATGATTAATTAATACGAAGTTACAATTTGTTTTAGAAAATACAATCTTCAATTACGATGTATTTGTTTCCTACTCCAACGATGACAGAGTTTGGGTGCTTGACCATTTGTTGCCACACTTGGAAACTGACTGCAACGTGAGCGTGTGTTTACACGAAAGAGATTTTTTGGTAAGCTTAATGATTGTGTTCTTCATAATTTGTAACAGTGTACACTTCTGCGAGTACGGATTTCGGGTCAATTGATGGAAACTTTGTACAGCAATAAAAGGAGACGGTCCAAAATTGTACGAAGCGTAGGCCTGGTTTTGTACAAGTAGGGAAATAAATTAAAATAATATATTATACAACTTTTGGTCATTCAAATTCACAAATTTGGCTTTATTTCAGTGGTGTTAATATTTTATTCTTACCAAACACTGCAACACTATAATGGCGAATTAATGTCGTTTTGACGTTAGCTGTCAACTGTCATGAGGTTATTGATCAATTTATTGACAGATATTTGAAATCTGAAATGCTGTTATGTGACTTATGCCTATCAGGTAGATTTATTATGTACAATGGCTAAAATATTTCGAAACTAATATGATTCAAAATTGATTCCACATATGTCCGAAGTCCATAAAACAAAAGCCGAGTCAAACAAGTAGTAACAGATCCAAAGTCCAAACAAAAAAAACTAAATCGCCTAAGAACTCCAAAAGAAACTCAATAAATGCATTCACGACTTCACAACTACACGAACATGCTCGGAATTATGGAGTGTAGAGGTAGGAATAAACAAAAAAAATATCACACTACCTACATTATTACATGACTCAAGTCACTTGTTAGACATGACATTTGACATATAATTTTATGGCTGGATGGGCACCATCTTGTAAAATCATTAAAAATTAGAATTGCATTTTTATTTTTAGCAAGTAACTTAGTTCCATTTATTTTTTTATTTTATTTTTAACAAAATCCCTGAATTTATCGCTTTTTTACGGTATAGTGTATATAGACTGGGCCTGAAATGGACCGTCTCCTTTGGTCTGATCTACGATCATCAATTTTTCTACAACAGTAAAGTTTAGTCAGACCTTAATGTGTATTTTAATATTACTTTAGATGATGCTGAATAACTGCTCACGTATTTGTCAATTGATTGACATCATATTTTTCAACTATTCTAAGGCAGCGCATGATTACTATCCCACCTGATGGTAAGTGATGATACAGCCGAAGATGGTAAAGCGAATGATTAGCTTCTATGCATCTATGCAACGAATGATAAAATTCAAAGACTGGATAGAGTGACATACGAGAGTGACACTGAAAGTTCTTAGAAAATCAAAAAACGAACAAACAAGCAAGAGTTTTATTATACCTTTTCAAAATAGTGTCCATTTACATCAATATATCGCTGCATCCAATGTAACCACTGAGAAAAGCACTTTGCCCACTCGTCCTTAAGGGTCTCTTTGAAGGCATTATGAAACGCAGCCACTGCTTCCTCGGCGTTCATAAAACGTTTTCCTCGAAGTTTTCCTTTTATTTCCGGAAGTAAATAAAAATCGCAAGGTGCGAAGTTGGGGCTATAGGACGGGTGACCCAGTAATTTCACGTCTGAAGTCGCCAAGTAGTCGATTATTTGCTTGGAGGGGTGCGACGAGGCGTTGTCGTGGTGAAGGAGAATCCTACTGCGAGGTCGTTTCTCCCTAACTTTTTCCAAGGCAAGTGGCAAATAATTGTTAGTGTACCACTCTGCAGTAACTGTTTTTCGATCCTCTAAAACAATTGTTGAGTAATGACCTCTCCTTCGGAAGAACGAGGCCACCATCTTTTTTCCTCAACTCTCCTCGACCTCTCTTCACTTTAGTTGACAACTCCTCGGAAGGAAACACCCAGACAGCAGACTGTCTCTTAGTTTCAGGATCATAACAATAAATCCAGCTTTCCTCATACGTAAGTATGTCAAACACAGCATTTGAGTTACCTCAGTTAAATCTTTGAACCATTTCACGACACCAATCAACACGACGGAGGTTTTGGGCCTCTTTCAAATTACTTTTATACGTAGTAGAGCTACGATGCAGCTATATTACGGTTGTAGTATGAATAGGTCGGATCGACTGGGGAAGGACCACACTCTCACTGAATACCAGCGTAAAATAGCAGCTTAATGCCGTTGTGTTTCGTATGGTGAGTGTAGAGAACTGAAAACCCTTTTACTAGTATCAAGGCATTCCATCTTAGTTCTCAAGGGTGACAACGCATCTGCATTTTGATTCTTAATCGAGGTTAAATGTAGATGTCTATGGGCCACAGCATCCACTTACCATCAGGTGGACTGTGTGTTTGTTTGTCACCCTTATCATATAAAAAATAATGAAGTGTCCACCGGGCACAAAGCTTCCTGACCGCTTAATGTTCGTTGAAGAATTTTGTGCCATTGATAAGCCACTGTTTTGTCAGTTTCTATCATACGCCGCACAACACTGATGTTATCTTCAGTCGTCGTCGTAGAAGGCCGTCCCTCACGCAGATCATCGGTGAGATTAGTGTGACCACGTAAACTCATTACATACACAACATCGTAAAAGGCCAATCCGAAGTCTATCATAACTTTCTTGGTGACTTAAATGACATCGAAACTCATAAAAAATCATTGCACAAAAATTTTCTCGCGTTAAATTCATGCTGACGTGACACAGACAATTTTAAATATGCCTCCAAATCGTAAACAAATGACAAATTAATAAAATACATACACATACTTATTGGCAAAGAGTTCCAATTTCAAAACTGGATTTTATTTTTTTATTACATCCTTTATAAGTGGCCAGTCCTCTAAAAATTCAGTGGCGCCCTCGTATATAGATAACACTTTATAGAACACCAAAAATCTTAATATCAATAAGAAAAAACAATCAATAAGAAATTTACGTCTGCAAATTATTTCATTCTTTTGCTGTTCCACAGTTTAAAGATAGTATAACGGTTGGGAAACTAATGTACTTGTGCAGAGCAACGTCAGGGTCCAGGGGGTGGTGGGCGGTGCGTCCTTGTGCCGGCACCCTTCACTAACGGGCTTACCACACGCTCAAGTAGTTTTACCTGCGCAGGTCGGCTTGTTCACGGAACACCATGCGTGTGGTTGGTAAAACTGTATACCGCGCAAACCCCATGGCGCGGCCTGCGCATTTTCCGACTTGCTTGAAATTTTTCCTGCGCAAGCCCGGCCTGTACGCTGGTATTCTGTGAGAGCGTGGTCCTGCCCCGGTCGAGCCGACCCATTCGTGCTACAACGAAGTTCTATTAAAGTTTAAGTTAGTTCTATTAAAAATACTACCATGCCGCACAAGAAGATTAGTAAATTTTTACCGTACATAAAGTGTTACATCTCTATAGAGAGCTACAAGATGCAGGAGTGTACGAGCTATATTGTAAATGTGGTTTCTCTTACGTAAGACAAACAAAAAGATCTATAAAACCCGCGTGAAAGAACATATAGCTGACGTATAGCACCGACGCTCCGGGAAGTCTGTGAATCTGTTTGATATCATCGCCACCTTGACATCAGATTTGATAGACCACAAATCCTCGCAAAAGAATACCGATTCCTACCAAGAAGAGAGAGCTACAAGATGCAGGAGCGTACAAGCTATATTGTAAATGTGATTTCTCTTACGTAAGACAAACAAAAAGATCTATAAAACCCGCGTGAAAGAACATATAGCTGACGTATAGCACCGACGCTCCGGGAAGTCTGTGAATCTGTTTGATATCGTCGCCACCTTGACATCAGATTTGATAGACCACAAATCCTCGCAAAAGAATACCGATTCCTACCAAGAAGGATACATGGGGCTATACGGGTGCTCCCATTTGCTTGGGATCCTATAATTAACGAAATTAAATCAAAACCCAAGTATACCACTGCAAGACTTCAAGATATTTTAAGTTCGTTTTGCCTAGATCGGATTTCTTATTAATATTTAAAAACTGAAGGTATCCGGGCTAACTATGACATTGGGAAGTCAAACATTTTCTTCCCCATTCCTAACCATGGGCGCAGTTATCACCCGAAAGGGCGGGAAATAAAAATAAATCAATTAAACACGATAAAATCGTGTAGTGTTCGCGTAAATATAAGAAATCATTAGGTAAATTATAAATTGCTAAAATAACTGAGGCTTCTATATGAGTAAAATTTTTGCTTTCTCGTTTTGTATAGGTAGGTTTGTCAATCCTGGAGAACATTGTGGCGTCCATGGACCGTTCGAGAGCCATCATGCTAATCATCTCGCAGAGATTTTTGCTGAGCCAGTGGTGTCAGTTTGAAATGCATCTCGCGCAGCATAGGTGATAATTTTTTATTTTAAGTGAATATAATTGATTTTACTCGATTAATTATATTATTATTATATATCATCCCGTAACTCTGTATGTATTGGCACTTGTTGGTTTAGGGGTCAGTTCATTCAGTAATTGGATTTTTTTGTCAAGAAACTCTCAGTAAGAATTTCTCAGCCTAGAGTTGGAAAGTCAGTTTCACCTTCGTGCCTCGGAAAGCACGTAAAGCTGCGTATTGCGACTGATCTCTCTCCAGCTTGTTAAGAGAATAAAGACCGCACCTGTGCTTATGCACACAATCGTGTACTATAATCCTATCCTGCGAAGATGGGTAGTATCCTTTGATATTAGCCGTAGTGACCGAAACTGGTAGGATAATGTTATACGTAATTAACAGTAGGTGGTTTAAGGCTCACTGCTGCACGTGGGATTCTTTAATATTGGCGAGGGTAGATTAGAAATAGCAGTACAGGCTTCAATTAGGGGTATTCTAGTTGTGGCTGCTAATAATACATGACAAATGGATAAAATAGATAAATAAAATATATAAAATAAATAGCGTATAAAATAGTTAAACTGCAATTAATCACAGCTTGTCCTATTTTGTTATATTACTTAAACAGAATATTAGTATCATTATTCACATAACTAATACTCCAATTAAATATTCCAAGCAAGCTTAAAATGCTTGTGTTAGCGTAGTGGTTCACAGTTCAATCGTATTGCGGATTCGAACTTATGAATTTCTAACAGCGTGCAGTACGCATACTAATCATACGGCTTGTTTTATCATCATCGTTACAGCCACTCACAAGTCAACTGCTGAACATAGGCCTCTTCCAAAGAATGCCACAAAGCACGGTCCTGAGCCACATGCATCCATCTACTTCCTGCATGTCACTCCATCTAGTGGGGGGCCGCTCTATACTTCACCTACGACCTTTATGGCCGGCCCATTGCCACTACTATACCGCCCTCTGTCAAAGGCAATAACAGGTCGGGGAAAAAGTTTCTTCTTATTTTGTCTGTATAATATTGAAGAAAATCTCTTTAGCTGTACTGTTTGTATCTGGCTGGTTTTAATATCAATCATTAAGGAAATTAAGAAAAAGAAAAATTAAAAAACACTTTCCCGCTATTTTTGCCACAATTGTTTTTCTGTCCGCTAAAATAAGTGAATCTAAAGGCCCGCGTTCACTAAGCTCGCCGAGCCGAGTCGAATCGAATCGCAAAAAGTCGCCTCCTATATATTTACTATGAAGCTGCGTCCATTAGCAACGAGCCGCGGCGCGTTGAATTTGAATCGACCGCGCGAATTGCTTGACAGACGAATTTCTTCGCCGATGAGATTCGATTCGATTCGGCGCGCCTCAGTCGACGCGAAGATGTGGATGCGTGCCAACGTATTTTTAATAATTTCTGTTTAGTTTTCATAAAAATCTTTTTATTTAAATATGAATATAATTTAATTTTTATTTAAATATGAATAATGAAGAACTTTTTCACAGGATAAACGAAAGTATTGAAAAAAATTAAGAGGATCGCTTTTCAAAACTGGATATAAATGATGCAATTTGCCATAGTTATTTTGTTTAATATTAATGTCGTGTATCCAATATTTGGGAACACGCCGTTTCCTTTTTCTATTCACCTCTGCTTCATCAAAAAGTTTTTGAAATAAATCTCACATCTCTTCATCCGAGGTATCCATGACGCAAAAACGACCTAATTAGATGAAGAGTTTGCGATGAATGAGCAATTCGATTCGATTCTTCACAGGTAGACGCACTAGAAATAAATGCGACTCGCTTCGATTCGGCGCATTTCTGCTGTAGTCGACGCCAGGCTTAACGAAAAATTTCGATAAATTCTAAGTTTTTTTTACAATGACTCAAGTCGCAAAAAATTTCATAACGTTTATGGACCTAATGCAATGTCAGTAAGAGTAGTATAAATTTGGTTAAAAAGCGTTTTCAGTCTGGGGATTTTGATATGAATAACGTAATCAATTTGCTACAGGCTTCTGGAGACCAGACGTGAGGATCTCATCCTCGTTCTTCTAGAAGATATTCCTCGGCGTAGACGTCCAAATACTCTTCATTATTTGATGGTCACAAACACGTATATTGTCTGGCCGAAAGAAGACGCCGAACAAATGATGTTTTGGAAAAGACTGAGGAAGAGTTTAGTTACGCAGAAGATGAGACAGCCGGAAAATGTGTCACTGGCGTGATCTAACTTTTTAAGAGAGTTTTAAGATAGTGGGTCTTAAAAACAAAATTGTAGTTAGGCTGTCACCTCTGAAGACTAAGATGGAATACTTCGTTGTAAGCAACGGTGTTTTTAAAGGTCATACATACAAGACACAGTAAAGTTAAGCGTTTACGTGATCCATCCAAGTTGTTTTAATATATTTCTTTGCTATGTAACGAAGGACACATTTAAATAAAGAGTGGTTTTGATCATCATCACCATTTAGCTAATAACAAGTTGTTTACTGAACGTTAAATAAATTTCTCCTAACTCTAATTAAATTTTACAAGCTACTATTAATGTGTATACATTCCTTACTGAAATCTTCATAGAGCAACTAGTTACTCTGAGACCAAGATAAAAGTAGTCCACAGAGGAGCCTCGGTTAATGAGATACGGAGCAAGAAATTGAAAAATTAAATAAAACTGAGCTTGTCAACGAGATAGCTATGATTGGAGATTATTATGAATACTTTACATGATTAAAGAATCAACAAAATAATATGGATTAAATATAATTATTAACCTTGTAAAAATTTTAAAACGAAAGGTCGAAGTCGAAGTCGAAAAACTTGAATTAATATCAAATAAAAAACTGCATAAAAAAATAATTATAATTGCATAAGTTGATAAAAATGCTATGCAATAGCTTTACCGCGGCAGTCCCCGAGTGCCACACGCATTTTTTTAATTAGAATTTTTGTACGTTTACATGGAAAATCATATAGTAATTTTATATTATCGTCCACATTTGTTATAACCTTGACCAGTTTGGGCGTGTATATGTTTATAATTTAATTAAAACTAAAATGACATAGGCCATGGCGAACGACGTAAAAGGGTGGTCTTCAAGGAAAAAAACAGATGTAACAATTTGAAATTTTGCGGACGTATTGATGCAGAGCCGATAACAATATGATAATTTTAAGACCATGACCTACCTATTCTCACTAGGATAATTCATCATGATCAAAGCTTTTTGTTGCTTTGAAACTCAAATATTTTTTTGTATGCAAAAATCTTACGAAAATTTTATGTACCATTGGATTTTTTTACATATATACATAGCTTCAACTGTACGTATGGATGAATGTACACTTATGAACGTCATCATTGTTCTGAAAATTTTCAGAATAATTTCCTATTCTATTCTATTCTATTCTAACCGATGATAATACAATGATTTCGTGTAGTAATTTCGTAAGTATGACCTAATAATACTCTAACTAGGACCACACAGCTCATGATCAAGTGAGTTGTTTAAGTTTTTTTTAAATCGTAGTATTTTGTTTGCAACGAATTTAAAATATGTATAAAATAATTAAAAAGTGGCGTGTACTCTTTAGGTACAGACATCCTCTAGTTTTTAAATTTATTTTAATGTAGTTTTAGGATTCTAAATAATAAAATCTAATTAATATTCTAAATAGTAATAAATTTGAAACAACAAGACTTAGTTTTATTTTAAGTATTGTATTTTCTGTTGCCTCTTCCATGTCCTACCGTTTATCTTACTTCCAGTTCTATGGTTAAGTGATTAAAGCACCAGACTGTTGTGTGCGAACTTTTGAATTTGAATCATAGTTGAAGCCGATGCGCAAAATACGAATTGTTATATTAATTCGGATTTTGAACACAGAAAAATTTTAGGCTTTCAACATCCATTTAAAAAAAACTAGCAATTCTATTATTAACATTACTAATATTCCCTCTAACCACTTCCGGTAAGCTTAAAATGCTTGTATTAGGAGTGGTTTACAACAGTAGTCGAATGGCGAATTCGAAACCACGACATTTTGAGTTACCTGTCCACGCTCTGCCTTTAACGTTTTAACGTTAATACTACTTGTTGTTGTTCATCATCCTATGAAATTCCACTACAAGCCATGGGCACGCAGGCGCGGCAGGTAGAGTACAGATCTCCGTTTATTAATGATTAATCTACTCGTACTATTAATAACAAATAATAAAGTAGTAACTCACAAGTCGTCAAAGTGATGCCACCTCTCATACGCTTAGGTTGCGGTGGAGTAGTCAGTAGATCTAGGTTGAAGATTCCGCCACAGATCCTGCGTAATGCAAATGTATTTTTTAAAATTTTATCTACTAATGTTAACCTATATGACTCGTCGTAGTCGTATAATGTTAAATGTAAGATATTTTAAAAAAGAAAAGTGGATTGCGGAAACCCGTCTAGCTACGCTGAATGTATGTGGAGGAATGAATGATAAGATGGATGAAGTATGCGAAATGATGAATGACAGAGGAATAGATGTGTTATGTGTGAATGAGACGAAACGAAAGGGAAAGGATGCCACTGCACATGGCACGTATACCGCGTATTGGTCTGGCGTAGAGGAGACCGAACGGGCATGCCAAGGTGTCGGTTTCATCCTTTCAGAAAGAATGGGTCAAGGTGTGAAAGAGTATGAATGTGTAAGCCCGAGGCTGCTATGGATACGAATTAAAGTGGGCTTAAAGAAGCTGTTCCTGCTAGGGGTGTACGCCCCAGACATGTCTAAGCCCACTTACATCCGAGAGCAGTTTTGGGACATGGTAAGGATGGTGTTGACAAAATGTAAGGAAAATGAAAATATTATTATGTTAGGAGACTTTAATGGAAGGGTAATCATTTCATAACCAGACCTCTTCACCCCAGTGAAGAGGTCTGGTTATGAAAGGATATTGGGAATGTTTGGTGATAAAAGTATAAATGAGAATGGTGAAGACCTCCTCACCGTATGCGTGGAAAAGAATCTTTTTGTGACGAATACTTTTTTTCGTCATAAGAAGATTCACATGTATACATGGGAAAGAGGTGATGATAGAAGCATGATAGATTTCGTAATTGTGGATGAAAGAATGAGGAGCGCAGTCGTAGATACAAGGGTTTACCGGGGGTCCAATGTAGGGACGGATCATTACTTGGTCTTATGTCGAATTAATGGTCTTTTCATAGAGAAGTTAAAGATGTAGATTGAAAGAGAAGTATAAATTAACGATAAATGTTTGAATGAGTTGTGTATGAATAATTTAGACTTGAATACTGTGTGGGACAATATTAAGAAAGGTTTGGTGGATGCTGCCACTGAAGTATGTGGTGTAAGTAAGAGAACAAATGAAAGGAAAAGTAATACGTTGTGGTGGGATGATGAGGTACGGGTGGAAGTTGAATCAAATTTACTAGCAACCAAAGCTGGTAATTCTTCTGGTATGAATGATGAGATTGAAAGAAAAAAGGCAGAATTTAGACGTCTAAATAAGAGAGTAAAAGAAGTTGTTGAAAGGAAAAAGAAAGAAAGAACGGATAAGAATGATAGAAGGATATCTGATTATTTCCAGGCTAACATAAAAATGTTTTGGAAACTCGTAGGAACTGCAGCCTATAATGAATGCTATAAGAGACGAGAATGGATGTATTCTGAATGAAGCTTCGAATTTAAACAGATGGAAGGAATACTTTGAAAGCGTGTTTATGAGTGAAGAGTCGTCTGAATTAAATGAACTAGAAATTGCGAAAGAAGTGGAAAGGGCTATGGAGATAAGTGTAGATGAAATAATGAAAGCAATGAAAAGCATGAAAGCAGGTAAGGCTGCTGGATATGATAGAGTATCACTCGAGATGCTAAGGGCTGGAGAGGGAGTGGTAGCAGGCCTGCTGTACACCTTGTTTCATTTATGTTGGGAATTAAAACGGGTACCGGATGACTGGTGTAAAGCAGTTATATTACCAATATATAAAGGAAAAGGGAATCCACCACCAAGCCACCAGCCAGCAGGACTGCAAAAACTACCGTGGTATCAGCTTGCTTAGTATTGTGGGTAAACTGTATGCTAAGGTGTTAATTGAAAGAGTTATGAAAGAAACTGATGGAAAAATTTGAGATGTGCAAGCGGGTTTTAGAAAGGGAATGGGGTGTACAGATCAAGTCTTTTCCATGCGTATGATTGCGGAGAAGTTTTTGGCCAAAAACCAGAAAGTTTTTTGTGCGTTCATGGACTTGGAAAGGGCTTATGACAGAGTGGACAGGAATGTGTTATGGCAAACACTGAACTCATATGGGTTGAGCGCTGGTTTGATACAGGCATTAAGGTCTCTTTATAGGGACTCTAGTGCTTGTGTCAGGATCAATGGGGTCTACTCGGACTGGTTTGGCATCCAAAAAGGTGTCAGACAGGGCTGTGTAGCTTCCCCTTGGCTGTTCAACCTATTTATGGACAGGTGTTTGCAAACTTTGAAAGATGAAGAATGTGGGTTAAGAATGGGCGAGTTAACAGTCAAATGCCTTTTGTATGCCGATGATCAAGTCATATTTGCGTCATCGGCGGCTGAATTGCAAATGATGGTTACATTAATGAACTGGGAACTAAAAGAAAGGGGAGTGAAAGTGAACGCAAGTAAGACGAAAGTGATGGTTTTTGAAAGAGAAGAAAGTAAAACGGTATGTGAAATAAGAATAGAAGGAGAGTTAATTGAGCAAGTGGGTGAGTTTGTGTAGTTGGGATGTGTAGAACGACGAGTAAATGCAGGGAATAGAGTGAATGGGGCACTACACTCTATTATGAAGAACCAGAATGTGTCAAAAAGGCACGTATGGTAATTCATAATGCTGTGTTAGTCCCTACTTTAATGTATGGTAGTGAAAGCTGGGTGTGGTAGAAGAAGCACGAAAGTAGAATAAATGCTGTAGAAATGCGGTCTTTAAGGAGTATGCTAGGGTTGAATCTGAATGACAGGGTGAGAAATTGCGTGATAAGAGATAAATGTGGTATGCAAGATGATGTTGTGACCAGGATTAAGAAAGAAATGCTTCGGTGGTTTGGTCATGTAGAAAGAATGAATGAGGAAAGAGTGACAAAGCAAATTTATATGGCAGATGTGAACGGCTGAGTCGGGAAGGGACGCCCTAGAAAAAAGTTTATCGACCAAATTGGCGATATTTTGAAAAGGGGCCACGTTAGAAGTACCCTTAACCGACG